AGAACCCTTACTGAGCTTCCATTGCCCTTTATGAAATCTGCTTTCATACTCTTCATCATCTAGTCTTCCAACTGAAATTAAATTCAGCCTCAAGTCAACCACATGTCTCACATCCTTAAGTACCAACTTGCAGCCAAGGTTGGTCTTTAAATGGATATCACCCATGCCAATGATGTCTGTTGTGCCATAGTTGCCCATCTTGACAACACCAAAGTTTCCAGACCTGTATGTAGCAAAAAACTCTCTCCGAGGTGTAGCATGATAAGAAGCACCTGTGTCAATCACCCACTCAAGATCCTAACACACACAAGAAAAAATATCATCAGAAGGAGACAAAATCAAATAATCACCACCCTGCACTGTAGCTGTAGTATTATCCTTTGATTCTGTAGACTCCACTTCTTTTCCCTTTTTCTTGTTCTTCTTAGGTTGCTTACATTGGTTCTTGTAATGTCCTTTCTCACCACAGTTATAGCAAACAATATCTTTTCTTGATCTTGACTTGCTCCTACCCATACGTGAACTGCTTCTAGACTTTGACCTTCCTCTATTCTCTGAAATAAGTGCCTGTGAATCATTCTGAGATGTTGCTGAACTCTTTCTTCTCAACTCCTCATTCAACAAACTGCTTGTTACTTGACTCATAGTGACAATACCATCTGGCGCAGAATTACTGAGGGAAACCACCAGTGTCTCCCAACTTTCTGGTAATGAACTGAGAAGTAACAATGCCTGCAACTCATCATCAAGAGACATTTTCATAGAGGATAACTGGTTAGTAATACTCTGCATTTCATTCAAATGCTCAGCAATAGAAGCACCCTCTCTATATTTTAGGTTCACAAGTTTTCTGATCAAAAAGGCTTTGTTGCCAGTTGTTTTTCTTTCATAGAGACTTTCCAATTTTTTTCCAAAGAGAATATGCAGAAATTTCAGTAGAAACATGGTGAAAGACACTATCATCAAGCCATTGTCTAATAAACCCAATTGTTTTTCGATCTAACATCTTCCACTCATCATCTGTCATAGTTGTAGGTTTTGCACTATCCCCTTGCAAAGGTCCATACAAATCTTTGCAATACAAGAGATCTTCCATTCTTGGTTTCTATATCATCCAATTATTTTCATTCAAACTAATCATGCGAGAAATATTACTGGCCTCCATGTTCAAATACAAAAATTAAATCACCAAAACCCCGCTCTGATACCAGTTGATGGGGATATAAACAGGAATAACCTTTGTATAGGAACAAATACTAGAAGACCAAAATACGCAGCGGAATAAAATGAAAACACAATCAAACAGAACACCAAAATATACGTGGAAAACCCCTTCAATGTGAAGGGTAAAAACCACGGGGCAAACTAGAGATAATCCACTATGAGAATAATGAATGTACAAATCTCAATCTCTTGCCCAAAATCCTAGCAACAACTACAAGAGAATAACTGGGATACAAGGATCACGTCACTGCCCACAATATCTAAAACCTCCCAAGTAATCACAGCAAGAGCCTACTGTAGATTTGATCTAATCTGAGATGAAAACACTGCTAGATGATTGAGAATAGTCTCTCTGCGTTGTCCTTGTCTTATTCCCTTTCTTTCTCTTCCTTTTCTGCCTTGTTCTCCTTCTTCTCTTTGGAATCTCGTGGCAGCAAAGATCTGCCTCGTTGCTGCCTTTTTATAGCTTTAATCTGCATCTAAAACGCAGCCACCATACCCCCTAATCTTAATTAGGATTAGGTTAAGAGGGGGTGTGGGCTGAATATGGGCCATCAGCCCAACAACTACGACTTCATTTACTTGCACCGCTCATTCACCCACTGGATCCCGTTGTTATTACGATGATGAGTTTGGCCATGTTCTTCTCGACGCAGCAAGTCCTCCGAACAAAGAAGAGCAGAGAACCTAAGCATGTGAGCAGTCACCAGGCGTCTCGCCATTCCCTCTTTTGTTCTCAACTGGCTGACAACACAGCTCATGCATCATCACAAAACTCGCACTATCCCTCTCTCTATCTCTGTTCGGATGACATATAGCGGATATCACCATGTGATCATCTATCTTTCTATCTATCTATCTGCTGCTGTGGACTTTCAGAGGCATGCCACGGTCCCACCATCTCCCCTTCTCCTTCTCTGGTGGCTGGCCATGTGAGGATCACATCGGATGCTCGTCCCCATGTCACTCTGCTGCCCACAATGTTTGAATGCCAACCAACCAGGTGCAGCGCACTCCCCCCCCCCTGCCGTTGATGGTCAATCTATCCAACAAGCTTGCTGCAGACTGAAGCTACATCGTTTTGGGGCATTAACTCCGCGCAGTGGGTGGCCATATCGGAAAGGTGAGAGAGTTTGGTCTCAGAAGATGAAGAAGATTCACATCGCACCGAGAACTCCTCCATCGAACATCCCACCTTTCCAAGATGACGTGCTTGCTTGGCATCATAGCACCCACCACCCCCAAGAAGATCCAAACACACAACAACAAAAAACAAAGAATCATAGCAAAAACGAAGTGACTATCCATGCATGCATCTGGAAAAAGCTATCCACCGGTAATATGAAAACCAAATCCTGTATGCGCCAACCATCGCCATTTACTTATTTCCTCCAAGAAGCTCCATTAAAAGATCCAAACGTACGCCAACCACCCCATTACATAAAATCAAGCTTCTCGGGCCACCACAAAGAATCAACGAACACTATATGTGTATTGCTGCTGTGTATACCTCTACTGCACAAACTAAAACGACCCGTGAAGAAGAGCGAAGCCATGCATCGATCCTACACACAACTTGTACGGTGCCTAGTAACAAACAGAGCCGTAAGAAAAAGAATGGAAGTATGCAGTAGTGGCCGATGTCGGCCTCGCGTTTAGGGTCTCCGGCTCTGGCGCCTGGCCCTCCGGCGGTCCCTCGGGTACTTGGTTTCGCCTGACTCGAAGAACCTGCTTTGCTCCGACGGGATGATGTCGCAGTCGGGGAAGGTGACCGGGTACCGGTTGGCGTCGTAGCAGAAGGAGTAGGTCATGTAGCGCTCGCGGAACCGGCGCATGGCGGCGCGCTTTAAGGGGGTCATTTGGGCGAAGTCGGCCGCGAGGAGATCCTCGTTGGCCTCGGCGCACCGCCGGGCGGAGTCCACCTGCTGGATCGGGTCGACGCGGCATCCGCGGAGGACGAGGTCGGAGAGCTCCGCGACGAAGGGCGCGTACTTGTAGTTGACCTTGTACCTGCCGTTGGCGGTGGCCCAGGTGGAGCCGTCCCATATGGTGGCGTAGATGGACATGGGCTTGGACGGGTAGTCGCCGCCCATGGCGTCGCTGCGGACCACCTCTCTGATAGGGGTGTCGTCGATGTAGAATCTACAGAGCACCGTCATGATCACACCGATTAATCCACCGATGCACGAGGACGTAGGTACGCACGTAACAGGATGAAGTAGGATGGCAGGGGGCGTACATGATGTGGTCGGAGGTCCACAGAATGGAGTAGCGGTGAGCCTCGGCGGTGGGATCGAAAGGGAGAAAGTAGCGCTCCTCGCGGCCTCGGCTGGTGCTGCCGTTGCCGTAGACGTTGGTCTGAATCCTCCAGTCCTTGCCTCTGATGTTGCCCAGGAACTCGAAGTCCAGCTCGTCGTGTGTCTTCTGGAACACATCTCCATTGGAAGTCTGCACCGCACATTCAGCACCACGAGACACCCGATCAATCATGCTGCAAGCTTCACCATGATCAATACAATACAATACAATACAATACAATAAATAGTTCGTTTGGTGCCCTCACGATATTTATCTCTCTCTCGCTCTTTTCTATGAACACGTCCATAAAAATAGTGGCATCAATCAACATGTCTGCATTCAACAACAGGGTTCGTGGACTCGGACGAAATCATCATTAAAACTCGCATATGATTTGATTCGAAAGACGTCGTCAGTAAAAGGAAGGAGACAAAAAGAAAACAAAGGAAAACCCCAACTAATTGCGCAGCCTTTGGACTTGGCACAGGGAAGAAAAAGATGCGGCAGCAATCTTTGAACCGTCGGAGGAGTCGTGCAGGTCGGTGCACAGACCAAATCTGTGCGAGTTGTGACAGCTTAGGTGTCTTTCATGTGCTTGCTACACATATTTTAAATAGCGCATTCAATTTCCTCACTACCACTTAATTCACTTCGATGGAGGTTTTTGTGGATCATTTAACTAACGCTCTTTCTAAAACGAAGTGGACTATTAGATTGCATCGACTCACGTAGAAGGCGACGACGACGCCGGCGGAGTAATCCGAGGGCAGCTTGATGGAGGCGCTGAAGAAGCCATGGTCGTAGAGATCGTTTGATATGAATCCCGATCCTAAATAACCAATAACAACAACACGCAGGCGTATGACACAATCACAAGGGAAGCGATACGTGAGCTTGAAGAAGGGGGGAAGGTCGAGAGGCACGCGGATTACCGGAGGAGCGGTCGAGGGTGAGCCGGGCGCCGCGGCCGTCTGGGGAGCGGATGAGGTTCTCATTTCCGAAGAGGTGGGAGAAGCCGTCGTCGAAGGATAAAGTCGTCAGGTTGAGCGCCGCCGCCGCCGCCGCCGCCGCCGTTATGCATGAGAGCATCAGGAAGACAGTCATCGCCGTGCCGGGAGTTGCCGCCGCCATTCTTTTCCGCCCCCGTTAAATCCCCCCGCTCCGAGCTCCCTTTTGGATCCCTTTTCTCCTTCCTGCTGATCTCTCTTCCTTTCCGCTTCCACCACTGCCCTGCTCCTCCTCTTTGGTTTTCGTTGTTGTGTTGGCTCTGTTGGCGTCTTCTTCTTATATAAGACAAAGCGGCAGTGCTCGAGAGGTGTTGAAAAATGCTTTGAATAAAAGGAGGTAATTAATTAGTCGATGGATCGGTGGATGGAAAGTAGAAGAATAGTCGGGGGAGAGAAGGTGATCTGGAAACCATCATGTGTTGGCTTTCCCACACCAGTTTTGGAGGAAAGCCCCATTCTGCCACTGCTGCTCGAGTTAATTCAACGCGCTTCATTCAGAACAACTCCTCCATGCACAGCGCTGCTATCTAGTGCTTTTGACCCAAAAGAGACAGCCGCGTCTCATAGCATAAGCATTGACTCAAGAACAGAGGAAGGATGCTTCGGGTTGGTTGGTAATAAGGTAGAAGAAGAAGCAGGGGTGCCATGGTCACACAAACCCACACCGAGGAAGCAGACGAGAATGCCAAGCTGTGACTTGCTGGGATTCATATGTATTGTAACCACCACCACCACCGCAATAATTAGGCCTCATAATTTTCCTTTCTATATTCCATCCAATCATGCAGCATCGGCAATATAAAAAAGAAGAAGAAGAAGAAGAAGAAGAAGATAAAATGGAAAACAAATTATGATGAGCGAGAGACGAGTTTAGTGCGGGAGGGCCTTTGTCAGTGTGGGAGAGACATGGTGAAGACGTGGGTGTGAACCTTGAGGATGGATCCAAGACTAGTTTGAGAGCGGATGGATCGGAAAACTCGAGTCACATGCGATCGACAGAATCGCTCGATGTCACCGAAGAACATGTGATTGATTGCAAGTGTGTCTGCTGCTTCAGTGTTTTTTTTCTTTTTGTAATCTACTTGTCGTCCCACAGGCTTTGACGACTGATCACAAGTGATCTTCCCCTTCTCCCCCGTCCCCCCCACCTACCGAAACGTTTAGTCGTTCAAATCGTCCGTCGGGATGCTTCTGATGGTGTGACGAACGAACATCAGGACAAAAGCAAAGTGACATACGAAGAAGAAGAAGAAGAAGAAGAAGAAGAAGAAGAAGAAGAAGAAGAAGAAGAATTAAATGGATAGCGGAAACAAGTTGTTGGGTTCACACCGGATGCTTTTGATGGATGGGGTTGCGCCAGCTCTCTCACCCGAGTTCACGGGAATCCACCCGCTGCTTGATGGCAGGTGGGTGGGTGATCCACAAGGACATGCTCCCTCCTCATCGGCTGAAGCGACGGATGTTGATATCGTTCATGTGCATGCCATAGACAGTCTTGTGACCAATTGGAGATTTGAAAAAGAAAAGAAGAAGAAGAAGAAGAAGAAGAAGAACAAGAAGAAGAAGAAGAAGATAATCCGACAAAGCTGATGACCGGTGGAGTTGACCCGAGTGAGATGCCATCCACGCGTATCTCAGCAGCGACTGGCTTCTTCTGCCCACATGGACATTCATTCCCCACCAGCCAGAGTGGATGATGGATGGAAGAAAGTCTTTTAAAGAGTTTGGTATATAGCTCACCCCCACCACATGCAGCCGCTGTCCCTCTCCACATGCGACGGCTGGCCGGAGGAGACGACTCCAACCCCAGCCAGCAGCTTTCCAAGCAAAATGCCGGCGGGAAGGGAGCGTAAACGCTGCATCGCGTTTGTTTGTTTGCCTGTTGTTGTGGGCTCACGGGAATCTCTCGAATGCTGTCTGTCTTCGAAAACAATATTTACTTTTTTTTTTTTCTTTTTGTACAGTCAAATAAGAGATTTGAATGAATATCTTAAAATGATTTTAGATCAAATCATAAGATCTTTTTGAATTTTAAAAAAAAAAAATATATTAGCAATCTCTAAATGTTGAAATGGCTAGTAAATAAAAAAATTTCAATATAAAGATACGATTTGAAATATATATATATCAGATATCAAAAATTCCAAACGCACTCAAAGACCACTGTGACTTTTGACTAAAAGAAAGGTTTAGGGTGGTTGGCGGAGTGACCTAACCCACGCTAAAGCTTTCCCGTTTTCTAAGGTACACCATATAATACGCATTTTGTCTTAGCTGATTGGGGTTTAACTTCGGCCCAAAGTTGGTTGGTTGGCGGTCAGCATTCCATCATCTTGGATGAGTCTCATTATCAGGGTCGTCTGGCCCCCACACACAAAGCGTACTTGGGGTCCACCTTGAACAAGTGTCATTCATTCTTAATCAAATCAAAACAAAAGACGACCAAAGGATGATGATAGATAGATACGTATTATGTATGTCCGGCCTCTCACACACTATGGTTCAAATTAAGCACAAGCACACTGGAAAACCATGTCGATGAAAACTGAACCAAGTACGACTCTCCACACATTCCTTCACGGTGCCACAAAGCATCTCCCAAGTATGATTCTCCACACATTCCCTCGGGGTGCCAGAAACCATGTAAATGAAATACTCGTTTTATCTTGGCACTTTACAGCAGAAAAGATATATGTATCATCGATTAACAACAACAACAACAACAATAACAAAGCCAGATGACCAGAAATACTTCAGCATCATCGTTACATCACTAATACTCTTCCTTCCTTTGTAAGTTCAATATCATCATTATGTCATCATAAGACCGACCATCCTCATCTGCTCGAGTCCACTATGATCAGAACTTATACGAGAGCATGATGAAGAGTGGAGAAAGCATATCGGGAATGCCAGAGTCATCATTTTCACCTTTTCCAGTAAGAGTAGCTCTATCGACCAAAGCTCTCTCACAATTAGACCCAAATATAACAGGTTGGCATGACCCACAACATTCGGCGGCGGCGATCGCTCAAAATGATGACCGGTTCAAAGTACATTCAACTTGACAGAAAGTGGAACTTCGATTCCACATAGCCCTCGGCTTCCCACAGAAAGGTCCCAAATGCAACTGCCTCCAAGACTAACATTGTCAGGCCAGAGAAAGTTATTCCCACAACTTCATCATTTGGAGTTTCCAGAGACCCATCATCTGCTATCCTTATGTCTGGCCTCCCAAACAGGGCCTGTGTCTGCTTCTCAATCAATGAAATAGATTCCTTAGACCTTATGGTTGCATATCTCTGCAATGTCTCCGCATCCAAGTACATGACATAGGACCTCAATCTATAAGGCTTTGTCTCATCACCATCAAAGTCATCATCATCTGATGAAATCTGCACCATAGACTCCAAGTCCCATAGTGGGTTAGGCTTCAATTCGTCAAATATTCTCTGACCCCTGGGCTTCGTCGGAAGGGTCTTCATAGTCCTTTCAAGTTGGTATCTTTCATCTACTCTTTTGAGGAAATATCCGTACATGATAGAGGCTGCATAAAGCTTCCCGAGTTTAAGTTTGCTAATTTGGGCGACAGTATTCAGTGGGCCACCCACTCTTTCTCCGAGAATAAGGGTTAAATGGCTCTGTATCATCTCCAGAGCATCAGGAGAGTGCATGCTTTCCAATTTATGTTCTTGATTGGGCCATGAGTCCACCCGATATGTAGGATCCGTGGATGTAGTTACCGTGGGGATCATATCGATTTCCTTCTCCATGAATTTTTGTACAATCAAGCAGTAGATAATCTCCTCTAAAGCCTTATGCCTCTCTTTTTCTTTGACTTCTGCAATTCTCCTGGATGTTATCATGAGCTAGCTCAGTTTTAAGATATACTGAAACAAAATACATGCAACAAAAGAAGAATCTGTAAAAATAATGTTTCTTTTAACAGATTAACAAAAACTCTTGCTAGAAAGTTGATCGTTTATCCATAAAGCCCAATCGAAATCTCCCAGTCATGTAGCTAATCCTGCATACTTCAATCTGTTTGGTTTTGTCCTTGTTGTCATTTTTCCTTCATCCCCCTTCTTTTGTTCATTGTTCATGGTTTTCGTGTTGGTGATAGGCCACTAACAAGTAGCATGACAAAGTTCATAGTTTCTTCTGAGATTTGCATTGAGATATATCACTTGAAAACCATGGACGTCAAAAAATATGCAAATGAATAGATAGGCAGAAGCTCAAACTCGTGTAGAAACCAAGAGGAGCAGTATCAACTTTCAACATGGAATCTTTAGAAATACTAAATGACACCTCTGAAACTTAAACACAGAGGAGCATGACAACTGACCGAAGATCTAAGTAAATCCTGTTTAAACTTGCCGCATGGTTGCATTTAGAAAAGGAAATCTAGAATGATCTTGTAACTTACAAGCAATCAAGGTTTTGCTGCTTATGTAGCTAATCAGTACCACTGTTCTACATTCCATTTTCAAACAATATGCCATCAAATGCTTTTTCATTGAATTAACAAAAGAAATTTGAAAGACTTATGAGACTGCAACACACACGGGATTAATAATAAACATATTTACTAAGTACCTATCATATTTGTAGATTATATGTATGTGGTTGGTTTGTAAGGGTTCTTCCAGGGGGTTTTCCGCAGCTTTATGTGCTTATCGAAACACATCAAGGCAAAACTGGAGGCATCAGCTAAAGATAATTGTAAGGTCGAAGGTAAACAGGATATTGGCACAAACCTGTTTTGAGTCCATTTGTCTTCCAACGTACACTCAAATGAGTGATTAACTAGGTATGAGGCTAAATTTATGAAAATAATTGCTTTGACAACCACAACTGGCAATGAATCTATATGGATGTACAAATCTACATATATTCATGGATAATCATATTATTCATCCAAAACAAATTGTTCCAAAGAGATCATTAGAATATAAACATCCAAGGAGATATGAAACAATTCTTCATAAAAATATAAGTCAAAAAGTAGATATTGCAGTGAGATTTTTATGAATGTATACATTGCGTAGATAATATAAGACAAAATGATCTGTTAAGAATATATAATCTATAGTTTAGGAAAAATTTTAAAAAGAGACATCCTGCGTAGTTAAGGCAGGAAAAACAAACTGACACAAAAGAGAGCTTAATGTACACTTAAAGTTTAAAAAAATAGATAAAAGTAGATAATTAAAGACACTTATTATAAGTAAATTATAATTAAAATAATACCAGGATATTTGGATATCTAGATCCAGATCAGGATATAGACACATCTTGTGTATTCATTTCTATCCAGCTTTTTCTGTTTCTGCAGTTTCATAAGGATTTATTTGTTTGTACAAGTGCATTCAGACATGTCAGGAATCCAAAACCCTCACCTGACCACATTTTCAGTTTTCCATTTCTTATTTATTTTTCTTCTCAGGTAACTTGCATATTAATCCAGATGAACAGGGACTGCACATGTAAGAAGTGTTCTATATTCTATTGCCAAAATAATGGACATCCAAGTGCCATGGACAAAGCATCTGATATCTTATTTCAAAAAAAGCTTCTAAGTTTTGAATTGAAAAACTTTATTACAAATTATAAGTGTTTGGAAGTTGATGTGTGGATTGCATTATAATGAACCAGAAATTCTAAGAATTGATAATATTTTTTTTCCATTTTTTCTCATCAAAAATATTTTGTGAGATATAACATCATAGGACACAATAGGATAAATTACACATGAAATGGACTCTAATAGGGAATAGCAAAGCG